ACTTAACATTGAAATATATATTTTGTAAATATGCACTGATCATAACTTACAACTGGCTCAAAGAGTTTAGACAGTTAGGAGAGTTCTGTGCATTTTGAGATTAACTATGCCTGTTACCATGGAAGCTGAGAGTGAGGAGGCAGACACAGAATGTTATTACCCTGTGTAAATCGAAACATCAACTATTGTGTAATACTATCTAATGAATCAACATTGACACAGGAGGGAGACACAAAGTTTATTACCCTGTAAATCAAGCTCAGCAGATTTATGTACTCAAACATTACTTAGTTTACATCAAGTATTGGACCTTGATTGTCAGAATATATCATGAGTATACTCCTGAGCAGCTTGTATTCGTGTGAGGTGATTTATACAGGACACAGGTACTGTAAAAGTTCTCCTTCAGATCTGTTTTACCCATATAACCCCAGCTGAATATCTACCACTGGGAACAGGCTGAGCAGCAATGTCTGGATCACTAGTCAGAATGACCCATGAAAACCCAGGTCTAATTAAACTGTGGTAAATTGTCCAGTGAAAACAGGCATTGTAAATCTACACACAAACACTATATACATAACCCAACCATGTCCTGCTAGATTTAAAGGGCAAATGTGAACAGGATATTTATAATGTATATATGGCCATCTATACAGTTAAGAATCTAGATGTTTCAATGACCTTACAAAAGGTTAAATTATAACCTGATTCTATCTTTCGTTGAGGGAAGTTAATGTGGGCCTTTAATTAACCTAGTGCTCCAGCTCTGTTTGGCATTTTCAGGAGCTGTTTGTCTTTTCACTTACAACAAAAAGTTATTGCATAATTAGGAAAAAAATATATTTATTACATTTTTTGCCTGTGAGATATTGGATTCTGGTGAACTGAAGAAACTGATAGCGACATCTTTTACTCCCAGTCACCATGGGAAGATCTCACTTTTGGTATCGACCCATCAGTTCAGGTAACTGCATTCAAAACTGCAGACTTTCTGTTCAGATGCAGTAGACACAATAGAATAAAAGATATTTTGGTACATCATTGCTCACACACTCTCAAGATATTTAAACACATCTACACATTTGATAACATTCTGTAAACAAATCTGACCAGGCAAATACTTTAGCCGAACATTATGACCGTGAGTATACACTTAGTCTATTCATGCAGACTTGTTGAGAAGCATATATGCATACAAAATATGGATCGAAAGATCTATTCTTTATGCACAAGATGAGCATACATAACATGCCTCAAACAACCAATACAATCACTAAAAACATATTTTTTCAAACTTACTCTGTTTTACTCTAGTTTTTTGAAAATGCCATAACGTTGGGAAATACCTTCGGTAATGCGAGATCTCGTCAAGTCATGTGACATTGCTCATGGCCTAATTTCCATTAAAAACATGGGTTGGTATATAAAACGTTGGAAAATACTTTTCGTAATGATCTTTGAAACATGTTATTGATACCACCTAGCGCATAAAGAATAGATCTTTCGATCCATGTGCGACATGTGTGTGAAAGTGACGATTTGTTTCTAAAATATCAGTTGGAAGTAGTATACGCTCCGGGCGCGGGTCGCATATTTCCCGCATATTATAGAGAGCCGGAGTTCTGACGTTAATCGACGACAGACCGATATGAAAAAAGTCGATAAAACGTCAGAATAATTCGGACCAACATTCGTTGTATATGTATATATAGTGCTATGAAATATGAGCCAGTTTTAAATACAATGGAACCCAATAACAGCACCACAGGGGTACATTACAATAATATACATGACTTATGTATAGGTCAGCCATATTGATAAAACAGTAGCTATTCAAATCACACATTGATAGGTTAATGAATTATTGAAACATCATTTCCAAACAAAAACGGCAGAAAAGCATATCAATGAGTGACATGTCTCCCTCCAATAAACAATAAGGTTTAGCCAGTATTATTCAACAGTAACTAGTACTGACTTCTGCACCTTAATTCTCCAGGACATGTGTCACTGTTTGCATGTTTTACTTTGTATAGCTATATAGGTTAGTGATTAATGAGCTGTACAATGAAGAAACAATAGTCATTATAGTGCTACCTCCAGTTTCTTCACAAAAGCAGTTGTGACCCATCAAGAGTTTTGTTGGGACACAATTTCAACCCCTGGTACCCAAATTTGAAACCTGACTCATATCCCTGGGTACTCAGAATATTTGCCCCAGTTTTCATCAATTCAAAACACATTGCCATTGAGAGGGCCCATGGGTCTATAAATGTCATTGGAGAGATTATTAATTCATCATCTCATCATATACTATAATGAACTTCATTAACTATGTTTAGCATGTTCTGGGCTAGAATTGATCAGCAATTAATGTATTATATAACTTGAATGATATAGCATTGGTATTAGAGCTGTAGGTCTCTGTCCCGACACTATACATCGTGTATATCTATTATTTCATCTTTTCTCTTGTTCATTCCAATGCAAATAAACAATCTGACTCAAAATGTTGTACGGACTCGATGACATAAACCTGCCCAATACATATAACTTAGACAAACTTGACATACAATGTGCATGAATGTACCCTCGCTTTTTATGCAAAGTGTTTGCAAATTAAACACGATGAAGTATACCTATCAATGCGGCCTATTTACAAGGCCATTATAATTATCAAAGGTGTGCCAACATAGCCACTCAAACTGACAAACTGCCAACGAATTATAAATAAGATTAAGTCTATAAAGTAAACAATACCGAGACCCTTATAATGGAAATAACATGTATACGGTAAAAAGGTGAATACATGTCTCTGGAGGAACAGCTTGATCAAGGGTGTTCATTTGATCAATATCCAGCCAATGATCTCAACTTATGAGACACTTAAAAGGCATTCTATATACATACACATATATATGGTAAAATTCACCATTACTGAATTAAAAATAATCAAATATCACAGATCGCATAATAATCATTATTACCTCAAAAACGGTTAGAGTATAATTGGAATTATTTTTATTCAAGACAATGTATATTTACAATGTAGGTATGAAGGACTCTACTTAAGATAGGTTGACCCTCATCTAATTCTACAATATATACGGTAAATTTGTTTAAATGTGAGCCGGATTTTTGTGTTTATCACGGGTAAATTATACATGTTGGTGTACAAAGTAATTAATTACACAAGATGGATTTAAAAGAGATATGACCTTTGACCCTGGGAAAACAAACTGTGTATGTTAAGTGACAAACCCCTTATGATAGTACTACTGTATTTACAATGTACAAGGCTACATCCAGGGACTAATCTAGCTTTATTTTGCTGCCGTTAAACAGCACTTTCCCCTCGAGAAAAAGGTACCAAAATTCCCCTATTTTCCCCTAAAATTCCAAAATCTTTATTATAAATGCGTTGCATTCTTTTTATCTTTTCTTCAAAAAAAGAAAATGATTTTCGAGCATCAAATTGAAAAACATCGATCGTTTTTGTTTATTTCCTGGAATTCATGAAATGTGTATTCCATCATTGCTGTCAAGCGCAGAAGTGAACCGATGTATGCATGCGTAACATCGCGGAACATCGCATCCGGAAGAAACCTTAAGTTAAAATCAACCAGACATCATGTAGCACAAGGAGGGTTTCATGTGTAAAAATAAGAGAGAAAGATGCAAAAGGAATCGTAGTATATATGCAATGTTTGCCAAACAGGCAAAAGGTCGGACAGAGTCGGAAATTGATACAGGTCCCCCCGACAGCAGTTAACATGCAACTACGTCGTCGAGTGCAGCGGTGCCCGACGTAACATTACTGTAGACATAGTCTAAGACGACAGTACCCTAATTGGATCACCAAACCATCATTTCATCAAATCATTGAACAAATCTGAGTAGGAATTGTAATCATTTATGGTTGTATCAAAGGGAAAATATCGATGAGTGTTCTTACAAACGAAATTAGCACCCAGGGCTCACTTAAGATATTTATAGAACACTCTTAAGTCACCAATCAGCGTCTCCGGTTTTTGCGAATGTCGAAACCCAAATCGGACCAAGGCTTGAATTTTGCAGTATCTTACGCTTAAAATGATATTTTTTGTCAGCATATTAACATTTTATGATGACCTTTAGAGTTTATATGACAAAAAGGATTTCTATAATGAGGATTTATTTTGACATGAGACGTTTCAATACAGAAATGTATGAGTTAAAATATACATGGCTATATTATAGTTATGTAAATTGTAAACAGAGGCTATTTTTGCAAAATTTGTAAACATTACTCAGGTTACAACAAAAATAAACTTCGTTGTTGGGACTGGCTTAGGTGACCATCCTACTAGACGTCTAGAAAGTCATGAAAATGAACACATTCACAAAATTGCTCACCAGTGATCAAGTTCATAGTGTATCCATGTCATTTTTTGCCTCGTCTTTTTATTCTAAGAAATAACAGCTAGTACACATACATAATACAAACAAACATCGAGACAGTCCGTTTATGTATTTTTCCCTTATTAGGGAAAAAAAATCCCCTTTTTACAGAAAGGGCACTTTCCCCCAAAACCTAGATTAATCCCTGACATCTAATAATAGTAACAGTGCAGACCTCTGACCTTCTATTATTAATGTGACGGTACATGTACAGGACAAACACGTTTGTCATGTTGTTTGAGGATATAGTTAGAGGAGCACCATTTACAATGTACTTTAGACTTGGATACATGTACATTGAAATACCTCTTAATTTGAATTCAAAATCACAAAGTTGTTTTTTGTTATTTTATCGTAAAGTATTCAATGACTCTATTAGCTAGTTTACTGATCACATCTAATCCCTGTTTATTGATCATGACTTATCCTTGTCTGACCTCTGTGCACTATATATATATTATAACTGACCCAAGTGCACCAACTGACCTTTGTGCACTGATCACTGACCTCTGTGCACCGTCTGACCTCTGTGTACTGCTCGACCTCTGTGTACTAACCTCATTGTGTTGCTGCTCCTCCTCCTGTCGGTACTCCTCCTCCTGTGCGTTCTGCAGCACCTGTCCGTCAAAGTTTAGGGAGGTTCCAGGATTCATCAGACTCAGGTTTGTGCTCATAGTGTCATGGGGCCGCCATCATACTGCTGCGCTGTGTAGCCCAATCTATGGCAAAACAACAGTCAATGACTTCAAATTTACAGTGAATGAGATATCACAGGATACCATCACATGGCCCTGCTGCTCAGTTCTTTACCCAAGTACAATGTAGTATGGTAATATGAAGCCCATAGTAATAGACGACTTCACAATACAAATCTGTACCAACTACTCTTTTTTAAGTCAACCACCTATTCAAATTTACTGATCAAGAGCACAGAATCAGAGAGTATATATATACACTTTTTCGGAACATTATACCATAGTATAGAGAATAACACTCATTCTTATTACTAATATAAAGTCCAAGATCAAAACTGATCAAGGGTATTTTTTGAAGTACGTAACACAACAAAGGAAATTAACTGCTCTGTATATAGTATATTATGTACACAATTTTGAGTTTGCAACAACTTTATAAAATGATGGATGTCCAATCTGTTATTATGAATACATAAAATATCAATTTAATATTTATTTTAGTTTAAAATTTAACTTAAAAAATTGAAAAAGTTAGATACAGGTGGAAAAAAATGGGCGTGAAACATTTCCTGTCATACGAGGAATTTAATTAGTGGTGATGCAAATCTTAGTTAAGAATGGTTTGTCTCTGGTATCAGGAAGAACTTAGTGTTATCCATGTGTCTAGTGTCATTGTACTTATACGTGGATTTGGAGAACATCTATATATGTATCAGTATAAGATCTATAGGGATCTACTGGATGTCAGAGAAAGAGATCACCTGTACAATACAATCAGGCCAGTAAAGCTATATCCAACCCAGGAGTCCCTCATTACTGAAGGTGCCAATCGTGATAAATCAACAGCACAAGTAAGGTGATCCTGTATTTTGTGTCAAACACACATTTACCTACACAGTGTTCATGATTCTTCATTGTTTATATATCTCTGAGTGGGATTTGAAGCATCATAATGAATTGTGCTATCTTTGAGTATAATGCTATATATTTTCCCATTTCATGATCACAAAAGATTGAAAATCTTTGTCGAGAAAAATAGTTCAGTTGGAATCAATTTAAATAATTGCTATCTGTCTGATTTGAGATTTTTCTTTTTGTATAAATATTGTACAGTACTACATATATACATTGTTGTATCATGTCGTAACTAGAAAAATGTAAGCTACATACTGCACCATAAATATATCTTAAAGTCTCTTTAGCAAATTATATAATGGTTGTGGGTTTTTTTCCTACAACCTTGAGCATAACTTGAGCTGTTAACATGAAAATACAATACTACAGTTATTTATCAATAATATAAATTATAACAGGAGCACCTCAGGGAAATGGGGGGAGGGGTATCTGGAGACTCCCCCATCCCCACCCATCCTTTTGTCTTGCAATAAATATGCAAAAGGGTAATCCTGGTCTCTCTCAAAAAAAGTTGGAAAGCAGTTACATACATTTAGTTTTTGTATTGGTCATATTGTTTGTTAAATCATTATGAGAGAAAAAAATTGAGAAGGGAATAAGGATGAAAAAAAGAGAGTGATATATTAGTATTTCTGGTGATCCTCGTGCGTATGGGCAAATGTGTGTTGGGAAAATCTTATCACAATAACATCAATCACTGGAAGTGTTCAGGTGATTATGCACACAGCGACAATCTCACATTTGTCTCTTGATTTATACAGTAACTATATATATATATAGATAAAATTTACACAGATAGAACTCGATAATTTCCACCAATTTCACACTGACTGGAACAAGTAAGAACACAGTAAATAGTAATGAAATAAAGTAATTAAATGCGGTATAATAAAAAAAACATAGAAATAAAGCAACATATAAATAACTTGAGGAATGCGTAATGTAACACAATATTTAACAAAAATGTAACACACAACAGTGTTTTCAGATCTTGGCATTTGTCCATAAAACTTGTTTTGGGTTCACAGCACTGACCCATAGTCCCAAAATTTCTTGTTTCCAAGAAGTACCAAAACATCCTAATTGAAAAATATCTAATTTACAAACGTCTCAAAACCAAAATGACTAGGTACCAAAACGTCAGTTGACTCAGTTCATCACTACTGTAGGTCATTAAATCATTTACAATCGCTGTTAAGGTGTCAACTGAAAAGACAAAACGGCTATATCCACAACATACAAAATCTACCAAATAATTCCAGCTCACAGAACATATCACATTATTCTATGAACTTAAGCGATTTGCTTCAATGGTACCTTACCCACGATTCAGGTTACTATCTAATTCACTTTCCTACTTCCATACTAAATATCGGATGAATGGGAAAACCGTTTGACAAGTCGGCGGGTCTGTCTGACCAGCGTAATTCCAACTGCTGGATAACTCATTAATCGATGATTATTTAAGCGTGTGACACAAACACTGTCTGGGAGATAATCCAGGTCTACTGTCAATCACACAGACACTACGTGCCACAGAGAAAAACACCTGTTACGCTTGCCAATACACAGACCACACATGTGCAAACTTGTTTTGGAAACAAATGTCAGGTCAATGCCTCGAGAAATGACCTCGTATGCATGGGGAAGTGGGTATAAAGGAAACATTTCTAGAGAAATTAAATACATGGTAGATAGTATCTACTTGTTTCAATGTTGATTCTTGAATTAGACATTTATATAGCACTTTTAACAAGCCATTTCCATTCACCTGCATTCTTTGCTTTGAAGCAGCCGCCATTTCTGTATACAATCCCACAATGCAACTAAGTTTCCGCTTGGGGAATGACGAATATTTGAAACGAATAACACTCTCTCCGGAACAACGTGTCTAAGCGCGCCGCAGTTCTTATCTAATACATAAATAGATATCACAAAAAGAAAAGGAGCAGACTTAGCTCAGTACAAAAAGAGGCAAATTCAAAGCACATTCTGACATTTTGGTAATAAAATATTTAAATTGTATGGCATATAGTTAAGCGGCCCTGTTTAACCGTAAATAATATATATTTACGTCTCTGGTATAAATGATAAATATCTCATTTTTTTTGTTAACGCTAAATATAATGACAATTTTGATAGTATTAGAGGTTACTGAAGATATTCCATTTATAGTTTAAACAATGAACCGGATCTTATTAACTAATCGATGAATTGAAACTCTTTTTTTTAAACAGGCGGCATTTTGATTTTAAAGCCAATTTGATATTTGATTTTTTTTATTCTGCATTTGATTTTAATTCTGATGTTTAAACTATTGGAATATAATGTAATTATCGTTTTAGATTTAATCCGTTATATATATAACGGATTAAATCTATAATGGATATATCCCTAAATGGTGACTGTATAATTGAGTAAAACTTCAACTTGGCAACTACGTTGTATAACATCTAATCTGTTGTTATCATTACTTGGAGCTAATCATTAGAAAGACTCATCTACATTATCTGTTTATCTCGATGTTAACTTTTATCATGACGAACATGGACGCCTTACTAACTATTTCTACTATCACGAACTAATCCTTTGAAAAAAGTTTTTCGAGATATGTAGATTGATATAAACTTTATTTATTTTACTAAAATTATGAAACAAGTTATTTGAACTCTTATTGACCTCGGTGAAAGGCAAGTGCGCAATCCACTGCGCCACCCAAAGGTCGTATTTATGGTAAACATCATGATGTAATTATTTATTAGGCAATTATGAATACGGATGTTTTTTTTATATTTTGCTGATGCTCTGGAGACCACCTTTACTAATGCAGTGATACATACAGTTCAGTGCCCTTTCGGCTTATCGACATCTTAGTTTCAAAAGTCCTTAGGATTGGCGTGGAGTTTTGGTGGTGGCGGCGGTGGCGTTGATAAGGCGTACTGCGTTATTCGACCATTGCCTCACTTTCAACTTCAGGTCCGTATTCATAAACACGCTCTGATGCTCAAGCATGGATTTTGTGCTCAAGCCTAATTTCTTGAACCACTTATAAATTAATAATTAAAACGTTATGATGTCAATCATTTTGGAAAAAAATGAAGAGACTTAAAGCCAGATACTGTTTTCAATGTTTACATTTGACTTTTTGATCGTTTGGCATGATTTAAGTGAGTTACAAGAAACTTAGTTTGAGCACAAAATGCATGCGTGAGCATGATTTTTATAGCCCTTAAACGGTTCTTGTCAGCAATAACAACTGATATGACCGCTGACGTTCTCCTTGACGATACAAAGCCTTGGTCAAATAAAAGTCATGTGACAATGCATTGATATATATATATATTTGTATTTGGAAATCAGTTATTATAAGTGTTAAAGATGTGCATTGATTAGGTTGCCTTACAAGCGTCAGCTGTAGGAAATTTCCCTTTAGCTTAGCGGTAGATCATCGGGCTGGAGAGCCAAGGGTCGCGGGAATCGAGTCCCAGCGGGACAAACATTACTTTTCCTCGTCCTTCTGGAAGGATATAAGAGTAGTTCTGAGTATGTTGTTTTTAGCTCTTTTCAAGACATATTGTTTTCCTCATGGGTTTTACTGTTATTCAGATGTAATAAGATTTTTTCCACATGTTTTGATATATTCTTGTTCTTCTTTCGCAAGTTATTTGCTCATGCGATATCTGCTAAATGAGGCAAAATTATTCATAAACTTGCCATTCCAATATTTCGAGGTCGATTAAAATTCAATATGGCCGACATGGCATTTTTTTTTCAGTCCATTCAATAAACTACAGACAACATCTAATTGGCCGCTTACCCTCAATCATACAATTCAAAGGAAAACTTGAGTTCACGACAGAAAAACCAAATAATACAGTTTAGTGACAGTCGTAGTTATTCTGTAACACCGGTTTTTCTCCAAACATCAGTCTCCGGGATAACATTCAACGTTCGGGTGCCGCCCCCGGATAAAAATAATTCAAAGATCCAGATTTTTTTTAAAAAGACGATTTATAGATATTGTTGTTGATATTTCGTTTATATAAGATTTATTTTCTTCTTATGATTTTGTTGTGAACATTCTTCTGTATTCTATCATTGTAGATGTTTACCTGTTTGACTGCATTGTTCACTCCTTTGGAATTTTTAGAACTCAAAAGTTCTAAATAAAATGTATTTAATATTTATTGTATCAATAAAAAGAAGAGAGAGCTGGGGGGGGGGGGGGGGGGGAGAGATAGAGATTTGTATTTTTACGAATATATTGTAATTCAGTCAAATGGGCTTGTTTTGCATTGGATAGCAAAACAGTTTCTCCAAAAAAAGAATTTTATTTCGGACACGAACACAAGTTACTAGCTTCCCTACCGAAGTTTAATGGCGATGGACCTTTCAACGCTTTAACACCTTGTATCTAATGCTTTTGTATATCACGTATGATGTCGAAACTAACTTGAGTTACTTCCCCTTGAACGTCCATCAGACTTGAACATCTTAAATATTTCTTATTTACTGTTTGATTTTATCTCTGTTATTTTGAAGAACACGAGTACATGTATTTGGTCTACGATTCTTGCAGTAAACTCAGCTCATTTGTTGAGTTGTCGGTCAGCATTGTGTAATACGGATGTAATTTCCCTTGATGGCTGTCTAGGCATTGGACTTAAGGATGTACACCTCTGAGAAGTCAAAAATTTCCTGTTTCCTGTATTAAACTTTTTTTCTAATATGGATTTTTGGAAAAAGGGAATAATGGCATGGTAGAAAATGCAAAAAAAAATATATGTCGGTGTGTTCGTTTTTGTGCTATGATCGGTCAAAGATACCAATTTAACACAACATGTCATTTTAGGTGATTTTTTGGGTTTTGACCATTTGCGGAACAAATTCATACAATTTCTTCCAAGTGTGTTATTAGATATGTATGAATGTTCGTAGAATTGATAAAAATATTATTTTCTTTTAAATTATGGAAGTAAAATTTCTTAATCTTATTCTTTTAACTCAGAAAGCCGATTTTAGTTACCCCTACCCCCTATTTTTTAATGAAAAAATACTCATTTTTTTACCATTTTTTGCAGAATAAACGCTTGATATAAAAAGTTCTGGTATTAAACTTTTTTTAATATTTAATGAATTAAATGAAAATGTGTTTCTCTTTCTAAAACATCCACAAAAATGGGGGGTCGGTGTGCTTCTTTTTTTGTCCCATTATCATTTGTGTTATTTTTTTACCTTTTTCGGGGTCAAAAATCAAAAGTGCTTCAGTTACACTAAATACGTAAAAAAAATATCAATAATGTATAATTTTCCAGTTTGTTGCATATTATTTTTATCCTATTAAACATTATAAAGTTGTACAGCAAAATTGAACCTGCTATAATTAAAAATGGCGACACAATGACAACTTAAGTGATCAATCTAGTGCAAAAAAGGTGATTTTTTTGCCTTTTTTGAAGCCCAAGAAATACACATTAATACACATTTTCAAAATGGCCGCCGAATTGGTATTTTTTTTAAATTCTTGTAAAAAAAGTTCTACAAACAACAGACATCCAGTTTTTTGACATATTTTTCAGATGCGTGGTTGCTAATAAACTTGATCATAATTTGTTAAATATTACAAAAACCCGTTACACCAGATCAAAACGAGACTTGAACGTGATTGAAACCTCAGAAGAGTACATCCTTAACGTTAACTATCTGTTATCTACGGCAATAACATTTCATCTATCAAATGTGTAACTGCGGTTGTACCGCGGCCAGATATCTATTATCTGTCCTCTATTATTTTTAGTCTACATCGATGATGTTGTCAATCCTAGTCAAACTTCTACTTGACTCTTTACCGATGATTCGTCTCTTCAAGCGTCTTCTATTTGATATACCATTACGAGACTAACTATAAGGCATTTCCGGCGACGGCGGCGTTAACATTTGGTTTTTACGTTTAACTTAGTCTCACTGAAAGTATAAGTGCTAGACCAACCAAACTTGGACCATAGATTGATCTTAGGTAGTACATATCAACCCATGCATCACATGCTAGTTGCGGTCTACCTTTCATGGTCCATTGACTTAGTCAGCATCTCCATCAACATTAAGTTTTTACGTTTAAGTTATTTTCTCTGAAACTTTAAGTGCTAGACCATCCAAACTTGGACCAGTCAGGCACGGGACATATCATTTCAAAGGTAGTCTACATTGAATTTATTTCACCAATAAATGCATTGATGGTCAAAGCGGGGCACAGGCGAGACATATAGCACTCGTTCTGATCTGTCAACACAGGGCCGCATGTCACTTTCAAGTGCCAGTTTGTGGTGACCATTGCTGGTCTTGATTGTTTGTCTACTACGATAGATATAAATACCCCTCAGATACTAACTCTGACTCGTACTTTCTATATCTTACAAGTGTTCCATTGCTGTTTATGTCAGATAACCAGGATTGTAACGCACACTTTTTCAGTCTCAGCATTTCCTTGTTCAATCCATGTTTGACCAATGCCTCGTTCATTCAGGACAGTTCTAGCGTAAGGAGTCCAAGTCAGCGTT